GCGGCCGACGAGCCGTCAGTGAACAGGGTCCATGTATCGTCCTGTTCCGGCCCAGGGTTGGCGACGGCCATCTCCCTTGCTGTGCATTTGATGACGAAGTCGGCCAAGGCTTGCCCTTTGATGGATGGCCTTGGCTTGATCTCAATTTGAAATTGGCTGAGGAAAATCGCCCATTTCACCATCCTAGAGGAGCTGGTGGGGCTCCTCATGAGTGCGCCGAGAGGTTGCTGGGTCAGTACATGGACGGCGTGGGCCTGGAAGTAGTGCCCCAGCTTCTTCACCGTGTGGACGATGGCCAGCACCGTCTTCTCAACGGGGGAGTACCTGAGCTCGGCCTCCCTGAGTGTTTTGCTGATGTAGAAGATGGCCTTCTGCACCCCTTCGTCCTCACGGATGAGCACAGAGCTGATGGCCGACGTGCTCACCCCTAAGTACAAGAAGAGGGTTTCGCCGGCTCTGGGCTTGGAGAGCACGGGTGGGGACGACAGGTACCTTTTCAATTCGTCGAATGCCTCCTGGCACTCCGTCGTCCACTTGAAGCTGCTGGCTTTCCACATGATCTGAAAGAAGGGGAGTGCCCTCTCGGCTGACCTGGACAGGAACCGGTTTAAGGCCGCCAGGCGCCCCGTCAGTCGCTGTACCTCCTTGACGTTGCGGGGCGGCTCCATGTTGATGATAGCTTGCGTCTTCTCCGGGTTTATCTCGATGCCTCTCCGCCTGACCATGTAGCCGAGGAACTTGCCGCCCTGGACGCCGAAGGCGCACTTCTTGGGGTTGAGACGGAGCCTGAACTCCTTCATTATTTCAAAGATTTCCCGGAGGTCGTCGGCGTGGGAGGTGGCCTGCCTGCTCTTGACGATCATGTCGTCGACGTACGCCTCCATCGTCCGGCCAAGGACCGCTCTGAAGATCTTGGCCACCATCCTAGTATAGGTGGCGCCGGAGTTTTTGAGTCCGAAGGCCATGACGAGGTAGCAAAAGATTCCCTCTGGGGTCATGAATGCCGTCTTCTCAGCGTCATCTTCATGCATGGAGATTTGGTGGTACCCTCTGAAAGCGTCGAGGAACGACATCAACTCGCACCCCGCCGTCTCGTCCACCAGCTGATCAATATTGGGGAGAGGGAACGGGTCCATGGGGCACGCCTTGTTCAGGTCAGTGTAGTCAACACACATTCTGAACGTCGGCGGTTTCTGGGCGAGGACGACGTTGGCCAACCATGTCGGGTACTTCACCTCTTTGATGTGTTTGATTGATAGGAGCATGGCGACCTCCCCTTTGACAAAGTCCCGCCTGTCGGCGGACAAGTAGCGCCGCTTCTGCTTGACGGGCGCGGAGGCCGGATCGACGGTCAGCCGGTGAGTGATCACCTGGCGGCTGATGCCCGGCATATCGTCCGGGCCCCACGCGAAGACAACGGCGTATGACCGTAGGACGAGGAGGATGGCGTCTCTTTGGTCCTGGGGGAGTTGCTTTCCGACTCTGAGAACCCGCTCCGGCCGGGAGGTATCCAGAGGGATTTCCTCGACCTCCTCGGCCGGCTCCGCATGTGGTCTCTCCTCGTCCATGGCGACGGCGGCCGTGATGGTGTCTATCCTCTGGCCCTCTCTCTCGGCCGGCCTTGTCAGTTTGAGGTAGCATGCCCTGGCGCTATCATCTGGTTTCCTCTGGCGTAGCCGATGCCGTCGTTGGTGGGGAACTTCAGGCACAAGTGCTTCATGGAGATGATGGCCTCCAAGTCCTCCAGCGCTGGCCGGCCCAAGATCAGGTTGTGGGCGCACTGGAGGTTGACCACCATGAACTCCATGTCAATTTTGGCGTGGTGGGGGCCGTCACCGACCTCCACGGGGAGGACTATCATGCCCTCGGCGTCGATAGAGTCCCCGGTGAAGCCGGATAACGGGGTCTTGATCGGCTTCAGCAGAGCTCTGTCCAGCTTCAGCTGCTTGAAGGTGTCCAGGTACATCACGTTGACGGAGCTCCCCGTATCGATGTAAGTACGGTGGATGATGGAGTCACCGATCTCACATCGGATGACGAGGGCGTCCCTGTGTGATTCCGTACCCGGAGGCAGATCCTTGTCGGTGAAGGTGATCGCCTCCGTTCGCTGCCTCTTCGGCTGGGGGGGGGGGGGGACGTGGGACACCTCCCCAATATAAAGGGATTGGGCCCATTTCTTTCTCTGAGTGGCGGAGTCCCCCCCAGTGTTCCCACCTACGATGAGGTGGATGTGATTCTTCTTCGGCGGGGGCTCTTCGAAGTCCTCGTCGTCGCTGAGCCTACCAATCTCCCGCTTCTTCGCAGAGGGTTCGCCCCCATGTTTGCCGGTGTTTACCCAAGTGTTCTTGCGTGGGCCACCTTTGACAAACTGGGAGAGTTCCCCCTGGCGAATAAGGCGCTCGATGGCCTTCTTCAGTGTGATGCAATCATCGGTGTTGTGCGACGAGTTCTTTTGGAACCGGCAGTACGTGCCGCCCTGCTGGATGGCAAGGATCTCCTCGGCCGGCCGAGGAGCCTGCTCGATGAGGCCGTGCTTCTCGGCATAATCGAGGATGGTGCCGACCGGGTGGGTGAGGGTTACCCCCGGCCGTTCCAACCTCGGCCGCCAGTGGCGGTCTTTCTTACTCTGTCCACCAGAGCCGTGACGGCCCTGGGCACCCTGGCCGGCCGGGGACGGGCCTGGGGCCGGCGAAGGATTTGTCTTCTTGGAGGGATGGCCCCCCTCTTTCTTGTGATTATGGAGCTCGTCGGCGTCGGCGTACAAGCCGCCGCGCTGGAGCGCCTTGGCGTACGACCTCGAGGGGTCGGTGATAAGGCTCCTAGCGTACGGGGAGCTGCGGAGGGCTCCCTAGTACAAGGCGAGGAGGGTGCGCTCATCGGCCCCCTCGACCTCCTCGGTCTCCCTCGTCCACCGATCGATGAATGACCGGAGGGACTCCTCGTGCTGCTGCTTGACGGAAAGGAGGTGGGTGAAGTACTTCTTCGCGCGCTTCCTCCCGACAAAGTGAGTGAGGAAGCGCTGGGCGAGATCCTGCCATGAGTCGATGCTCCCTTCGGGGAGCCCGTTGAACCACTCGTACGCTGGCCCCTCGAGAGTAGAGAGGAACCAACGACAGAGGTATTCGTCGGACGCGTTCACCATCAGCATGTTGTTCTGGTAACGGCTGAAGTGCTCTTGGGGGTCTGATCGGCCATCGTAGGACTTGATGGCGTTCCCCCTGTACTTCTCCGGGATGGGGGCCGAGAGGACCCTGTTAGTGAAAGGGGTCCTGGTCCTGACCTGGATGATGGGGTCACCTCGCCCTTCGGCCAGCTCCCTCTCCAGGGCGCTAACTTTGTTCATGAGCGCGTTGAGGCCGGGGTCGTTGGAGGCACCGGCCGTAGGGATGTTGGCCGACTGCTTAGCCTCCATCTGAGCCAGCCTCCTTTCCAGCTGGGCGATGACCTCGTCCCGGGGGTCCCTGTCGGCCGCGGCGCCGCCCGGCTGGTTCTTCAGGCGCTCGTTATGAGCCGCGTTGATCTGGTAACGCACGTCATCCTCGTGCAACTTTCCCTTGCCCTTGTCCGGGCGGGGCTGGTCCGCTGTCCGGGACACAGACCCCAAGCTTTCCCTTGGCGAGCCAGGACGAGGATCACCAATCCATCCCGCCATCCTCTCCGAAACCGGACGACGGCGCATGTCACCTAGCCTATTGAAGGCAGAGGCTTTTCCACGCGCTGGGGTCTGCCCGGGCCGAAGAGGGGAAGCAGGGTGGGAGTGGGACGACGCCGTGTCCTGGGCCATAACCCCCTCATTGTTGCCTATCTGGACGGCCAACGGTTGGGGATGAGGAGGTGGAGTGACGTTTCCCCCGGTCCTTGGCAAGAGTGCGCTGAGGACGGTGGGGTTCTGAGCCAGGTTGGCGATGATGACCGATAGCGCGGCCTGGACCTGCGGATCCACGGACGGAGAGGCCGCGGCCATAGGCTGAGCCGGGGCGTGGTCCGTATTCTCAGCTCGTTTCTTGTCCAGGCCGAGGCGGGCATCAGGGACTCCGCCGTTGAGTTGGTTGCGGAGGTCCGTCGTGAGGTTGAAGGCCTCCTGGAAGAGGTCCCCTCCGCCGACCTGGTCGGCCGTGGCGTCCTCATCGTGCTCCCTGGGCTCTTGGTCCTCAGGGATGGCTTTGCTGACGAGGTTGCGGTTTGACTTAGTTCTCCCCATGATCAGTGGTTAGCTGTGCTTGGTAGCGACGAAGGGTGCTAACTTGATTGTTCTAGCTCTCAACGAGAGCACCAAATGATAGAGTATATCTAGAGAGAAGTGAGAGCTAGAGAGAGAAGTGCAATAATATGTTTCAATAGAATGAATTTGTAACCCCTATAACTACTCCCAAGGGGAGTATTTATAGAGAAAATTAGGGTTGGGCTCCCAAGTCTTGGGCTTGGGAGGCCCATTTACAACTGGACCGCTGCTGGGCCGAATACAAAGCCACTAATGGGCTGTATAAATGAATAAGTATAAAATCCGATTCTGTGAGGTCTTCGTGGCCGACGAGGGCGTGGCCGACGAGGGCGTGGCCGACGAGGGCACCCGGGTTCCTTGGACTCAGGACCATAATCCGAGTTGGCCCCTTTTCGGCCGACGGGGGCGTCCTGGCCGACGAGGGCGCTACTCTGTTGTCTTGTGCTTTCTGTTCTTCCGAGTATGTGGGTCCGGGGGCTCAGACCCATATACTCCATCAGTACTCTTTTTCCTGACTCGCTGTCATTTTGTTTTTTCTAAATCTTAACTAGTCAACGTCTCTCACTCCCAAATTTTTCCGGGCCTAGATCAGTTTGTCAACTGGACTCACCGCTTTCTTCCGCCTTATCTTTCTCGGAACCTCTTTAATTTCAACCTTTTGGATCCTTCTTACAAAATTTGGTATAATAAAATCATTAATAATACTAGATATTTGACATGCACCGAGCATTTGTTCATAAAAATTCTCTATTTATATCAGATGGGTCGAGTTACTTTCTTCATTTCTTCATTTTTTTTGTGTTACTTTGATGGGCCGAGTGGTCGGTCACCGAGTCCTGCACAGTGGAACTAAAATGAACCTGACAACGACATCGTTTTGAGCCTCTGTCATTGCGTAAGTGCGTAACTGCGTCAGAATCCAGAAAAGCAGCGGTGGACGATCTGTCGATCTCCATTATCCAATGGCCAGTGTGTTCAGTTTGTTTTGAGCAGAGTAAAGAGCGATTCTCTTCCAAGCGCGAGCTGTAAGAAATAACGATGGATAATGGTTCGAAGCTCTACATGAATAAGCCAAAGAAATGTAAATGTTACTGTATTATTTACTACTACACCGTAAAATGTTGAGAATACAATTCGTTCAATCCAAATTAAGCAATCGCTTCTGCGATGATTGATCCTTTGCTTTATACTTACGTGTACGTATGACAGCTCAACTGAAGCAACACGCATCTTCTCCGCAGACGCTTTCACCGCCATCAGTTTCGCCGTCGATGACTTCGTCAAATCCTACGGCGGCTAATCATGCGCCACCTCCTCCGCCTGCAAAGGAACCTTTCCTTCGGCGTTACAGGTTCATCTTCCCGATGCTTTTGGCTGTCAATCTCGCTATTGGAGGTTCTTCTCTCTCTCTCTGTGTGTGTGTGTGTGTCATGTACTCGGTATAATTTTCTGCGTATGGCTAGGCTGATAAAGTTAACTGTACGGACTATTCCGAAAGCTTTGAGGATACCGACGGACTAGTCATTCTAGTCAAACTACTCTTTGAATTGAATTGCAATTGTTTTCTGTTAACTTTGATAGGAAGAGTGATCAACTGGCCGTTAGATTCACTGTTGATTCAGCTGCCTTGTAGTAGTAGTTGTTGTTAAGCACTTAAGCGTGTCAAGACCTTACAAACATTTATCCTGTGATTTGGAGGTCTGTGATCACCTTCTACGTAATACTGGAAGCTATCAGGAAATTGAAGTTCTGGAATTTGTGTAATCAGATACTTAATTGCTATAGTAGTATCTATTGATTGCTTAGGCAAATGATTTCAAATAAGAATTGAAATTTATTTGCTACAGTAATATTACTTCTCATTAGAATTTTCATACTCGCAGTACAGGAAGATGTTCAAGATTAGAGGAAATCATCTTATGTAGGAGTTGCCTGAAATATAGTGCATGATTTTCATTCAAACCCTCTTGTTGTCATACATATTGGCTTTTGTCATATAACAGTTTTAGTTGTTGTGCCATACTGTTTATGGATGTGTCTTCACAATTTCCTTAAGCCTATTGTAGTATCCTTTCACAATCCCTTGACAGGTGACTCAGCCTTTAACGTTTGGTTTTCTTTCTTTGTTTCATGCAATATGGTTTGATTTCGTGAAATTCATTCATAGGCTACCTATACATGAGGACAAAAAAGAAAGACACCACAGCCATTGAAATTCAAGAAAAACCTATCCCTTCGGTGGTGACTGCTACTGAATCTGCTACAATTGCTGAAAAACTAGTTATTCCACCTGCACTGCAGCCTGTTATGGAACCAATATCTGAAAAAGATAAGCGCGATATATTGAAGTGGATGCTGGAAGAGAAGAGGAAGATGAAGCCAAAAGACCCTGAAGAGAAAAGACGCATCGATGAGGATAAGGCCATTCTTAAACAGTTCATTCGAGCCAAGTCTATCCCCAACCTTTAACTGTCAAATAGAACAACTCAATTCATTTGATGAAGTTTGAAAGTTACCGGGTGGTATTTGGCTTCTTCTCTTCAATGTGTGCCTTTTGTGTGATGTTTGGTTGTGTAATAGTTTTTCAATGTTACTTCCTAGATTTCAATATTCCTTCTACCCGGATTATTTTGTGCTGCCTAAGAGTGTCCACATGGGTCTGGGAGCCATCTGATTATACTTTTTCACATACTCATGTGTGTGGGTGGTTTTGGATGGCTCCTAAGCTTGTGCAGGCATTACCCTTATGGGTAGCATGAAAGGAACCCCTTTGTCCCTCTATACCAATGTTAACATCCTCTTTTCTTATTGGGATGCTTAGCTTATGTCAGGTTTTGGTTCCACTCAGTTGGTGGAACCTTACCTTGAACCGGTCTCGATTCCTGATTTCAGTCCAGCTCCCAACTGTTTTGGAGGGGATTTTGAAAAAAATAGGGATAACACCATTCGGTTCCAAAACCAGGACTCGAACTGTCTGCTCCACATCCTAATGTATAGGAAATGGAGCTGGACCAACATTTGATGGGTCTCGTTTATGGTCATGGCCTATCCAAAACCAGGACTCGAACCACATTGGGTACTGTTTTTTTGGCTGAGGTAACAAACTGGCAGGCATGACTATCTGGAAAAAAACCATGTTGAAGCTTACTAGCCTATCTCTGCATTCTCACCACTCACCAGTGGTATGTGACACAGAAATGAGATTGTTAATGTGAGCTCCATTTCGATTGGTCCTTTTCTGCTTGCTTCATTCTGATTTCAAATTCTTTCCATTCCTTGAAGCACCTTGCCCGTACCTATTAAAACATAACACACTTTCTTTAAATATTCCGTGCAATGTTTGGCTTATCGCCTATCGGTGTCAAATGCACACATGAACCTGTAAATTAGGGAAGGGAAAATGATATGGCATATAATAGTACTCCCTAATTACTTAATGTCCGATCATTGCTACTAGACCTTTGATTTGAGTTTTTTTTAATCTTACTAATTGATACTTTAGGATAAAAATTTAACTAGTTGGTCGCTCCAACCCTACCACAGCATTGAAATATGGTAGCTATGTATTATGGAGGCCAAAATTTGTGAGACTCTTACTTTAGTTATATGTTTGTAATTATTTCCTGATTTGATGACTCTTCCGTTTCTTTTTTCTTTAGGCTAACATGATATGTGTTCGATAAGGTTAAGGGAGGTTTCTGTTTTTGATTTATTACTAAAATCCAAAATTTGAAAACTAGCAAAAATTGTTGTTTCAGTCTTGTGCATATGATTTCAAAACTAACATGATAAGTAAGTATGCTTGGTTTTGATTTTTTATACGTAGTATAATAATGCATTCTTGTTACTTTTATGAATCTTAAAACCAAAAACCTGGCTGCCACGCCTTACAAAGTTGTAGGTTGAAGATTTGATTGATAAATACGAAGTATGTGATGAAGGTAACATAACTAAGGAATATGTTGGCACAAGAAAAGAAATATACCAACACTACTAATTGGGTACAATTTCAGGTCAATTTTAATTTTCATGCCAAGAAATGTTAGACCCAGCTAGAAAAAATTGATAGGATAAAAACAGAGCTATAGGTGGTCGAATTTTTTGCACTGTTTCATGCATGCTTACCCCTTCCCATGGTTGCTTTCCATCGATGGACTCTCCCTGGCTTCCAAGTGAGGGCAGTACCAAATGCTCAATCCATTGAGCATCCACAACTCCAATCTTCTCATGTGCCTTCTGCAAATAAAATGTAGAAGATGATGGATCAAGAAGAGTTCAAGAATTCACAGAAAAAGGAAACACAAGTATTTATAGTGGCCTTACTTCCACACATCTCCACAATGCAAAATCCAGACCCCAGCCGTGTACCAAATCATTCTGAAACAGTATGGTATATATATCAAAGAACCTCTCCAAAACCAGAGAAATATCTTTTGGGTGATCATTAAATGGATACCTGAATCAAGTTCCAAGCGCATCGCCATGATTCTATGGAGAACACAGGTGCCATGATCTCCACAAACCTAGTCAGAGTTTTGTTTGACCCATGACCATAAGTTAGTGTACGGATTATTTAGAAGTGTCCTGTTGCGCGGGGGTTGTCGAGCTTTTTTTAAATATAGAGAGGCGTTTTACCGTGAGAGGGTGTGTAATAATGTCTCAATCGACTAAATATTTAGGATTACAAATGAATAAACTCCTTGATAAGTATTAGGCCATTGTCAGTTGTCACATGTTAACGTACTTTTGCAGTTGAGCTAAGCACTTCATTGTTTGAGTTAAGTTTATTTTGAATGATTATAAAAGATATGTATACCCTGCACAGGGAGGTAAGTCTGGGTAAGGACACTGTCCACTATGTGTTTCGTTCACCCTCCTGCAACAATGCAATGCAAAGATTTCAGCTGGGAGAAAATAAAGTAGATAAGAGGGTATCTTAATAACATGTTGGATAATATTTGTTCCATCTAAGTTGAGTTACTTTTGTTCTAACTTTTGTTTGGGTTGAGACGATTTGAAGTCAAACAATATACTCTCAGTTTCATTTACCTATGCACTTCAATATCATGTTGCTTCATAGTCATTTGCCATGTCAAGCCTTTTCGGGATACAATCCCGGGCTGCGAGATCTCTAATCCGTATTTTTTGACAAGCTTAATGTACCTAATTAAGCACACATCACAACATTTGCACGGCTAGAAACTGTCAGTTTAATTATGAAACTGGCAATGACATTCTTGACAGGAATTTGTTTAATGATATCCTCTTACTCATCAGCATTGAAGTGTTCCACGCCTAGATCTTCATCCCATATGAAGATGTACTCATACTGGGCTACAATGTTAGGGTGTAGAAAGCGTTTTGCATACCACCTGCACTCAAAAATTAGAAAAATTAGTTAATATTACAGTATTACATAACTCAGTACCACCTGACAGAAATACATATAATCTCAAGTACAGAATAACCAATACTCCTTCCCAATATTAATGTCCCATGCTTTAGGCAATTGATTTCCTTGTGAGAAGGGGACAAAGTTAATTAGGTGGTTGTGTGTTCTTTTGTTTTAATGTAAGAGTAAAATAGCACATTTGGTTAGAAAACTGTTTTTTTAAGAATGTGTTACCATTTGGTTTGTTTCTTGGCAGTGACATGAACGGCGCGTTTTGACCATTCGAACTCCTCGTCCCATTCGCTTGCCCTCCCATCATAATGGAACAACACTATTGCAAATTCCTCTGAAAACTAAAACATGCTATAAAACTGGGTCATTTAGGAACACCCTTTATAACAAATACCTGGTTTACCCGACGTTAATTCACACAAACCTTAGAGACAATCTTGTTAACCAATTCTTTCTGTTCTATGCCAACCGTTATCGTGAGCAAGTATTTAGGCACATTTTCACCATTGATATTGAAACTGGAATAAGTCTGGATAATGCCTGGTGGCAACCTTTCTGCACCACGGGGATTTGTTGCCACGAATATCTACCAACATAGTTACAATGATAACAAGTCATCTTATATAAAAAACATTTATATATATGGTCCTTCTTCGGGGTGGACATAAAAATTTAGATTGAGCCGGGCGAAAGAATAATTATACTAGACTTAAATATTAACGTGTGAGTTAAATACAAAAATGAAGATATTAACACTACAAAGATTAGGAGAATATCAGGATGACTCGGGCTTGAGTCCACCATAGCCATGTACTTCCCCCACCTCAAAAAGAAAGTTACAACTTGACCTTCGAGTCAAATCCTATTAAATTTGACTATTAAGTTCTTATGAATTGTATTGTTATTTTATAATGTTAAAACAATCTTGACCGATCTTATTGTTAATATATCATTGTATATAACAATGATCAGACATAGATATCGAAGATAGAAAAATTCAAAATGTAATTTTCAATCTGGGAGAGAATTGTAATCCAAGTTCGTTAACTGAAAAAATAACAAATTATCAAGATTGGTCTGTCCTTGGAATATAAATCGAAATACAGAATCATAATTAATCAATATTTGATATGTTACTTTAGAGATGTTATCTGCTCTGAAATCTTCTGGCGAACATGTTGAGTTGAGTTCTGATAAGGCTATAACTTTCAAGACATCAACCTGGTAATCAACAAAATGAAGTTTGAATGATTTAATCAATATATATTAGTGTGATTGAAGAAATTAAATTAATCATCTTTGACCAAAAAGGTGACCTTTTTTGCTCTTTGAAGGGACGAACCAATATGGAATCCCACCAGGAAGCTTGACAGGACAACAGCTATGAGACATGCCTCTGGTAACTTGATGTAAAACTTTATCTTCATTGTGTTTATTTCTTCTTCCTCTTTTCTATTTGAAAAGAAGATTCATAAGGTTATGGCTTTTCATCACTGTAAAATTAGCCTGAGGCTGTAAAGCAAACAATGCATAAATAGATAGTAACTGTTGAGTTAATTAATAATTAGTACATGTAACCTCCACCCTCTTTAAGTATGACTAATTGATGATAAAAATACAGTAAAAGAAAAACTGACAAATAAGAAAGCCATTTTGGCAGTAACATATTTATTGATCCATTATTATCATTATTCTCTCATAGGTGATATATTTGTATTATCATATATACCTAGTATATATTTTATTGATATATATAGTACCCAAATAACATATAGTTCCACATATTAGGACACATGACACTTACCATGATTTTCAAATTATATGCATGGAAATTCCTAGGAAGAGAATTTAAATAAATAAAATAAATTAAAAACACAAAAAATGAATTATAAATTTAAAATTCAAAGACTAAAGATTTATTTATGAATTCGAAGTGCTTCATTTACAAGTGTAAAATAATAAATTTGAAGTGCTTCATTTACAAGGGGGGAAAATAAATTTAAAATTAAAGAATTAATATTTTAACATAAAAGTAATCTTTACTTTGAACCTTTTTCTTTTCTATTTTTCAATTTTGAATTTTAATTTTATTATTTTTTAAAAAAATTATTTTATTTATTTAAAGCCAATAAGGGTAAATTTACTACTTTATTATAACATCGGAGGTATTTTTGCACCTTTTAAAAGTTCTGGAGTATACCTGCACCTCCACATATACTTCAGGGGTATATTTGCACCTTTCTCCTTATACGCAAGTATGAAAGAAGTCTTGCAGGGCTCGGTTATGTTCCATTTGTTGTGGTTCTCATTCCAAATAGCAGTTGTTTATTTACGTAAGAGTTTTTGCCACTTTTGGTCCCCCGAGTATTGTGTCAGTGACACTTTTGGTACACGACTTTTAATTTTTCCATTTTTAGTCCTCGACTATTGTTCGTGAGACACTTTTAGTCCTCTACTTTCAAGTTTCCCACATTTAGTCCTTTGAGTATTATCAAATTGACACTTTTAGTCCTTCTACTATGATTTTGACACAATAAGTGGATGACCAAAAATGTCTCTATAGCAATAGTTGAAGGACCAAAAGTGTCACTTCTACAAAAGTCGAAGAACTAAATACGGAAATTTTCAAAGACGGATACCAAAAGTGTCTCTCGCACAATAGTCGAGGACTAAAAGTGGAAAAATTAAAAGTCGAGTATCAAAAGTGTCACTGACACGATAGTCGAGGGACTAAAAGTGGCAAAAAGTCTTTACGTAATTATGTCCATAACTAATTCAAAAAATCGGTTAGCAAAACAATTTAAAGCTTATGAACTTCGAATCTGGCGAAAAAATGTGGTTTGACCTATTAATTTATCACGCTTTTTATCCATTTTCAATAATGTTTTAGTAAATAACGTAAAACAATGCGAAAGTGCAAAAGTAAGAGTTTGCAATTCCACATGAGTAAAAAAGACTTGAGTTGGAAACAATTACACGTGAAATTCAATGACGGTAATATACCACATCCACCCCATTTTACGAGTCTCACTTTGACTTGACACAATTATTAAGAAAGTGTTTGAAAAGGTAAAAGTTATGGTTGAGATTTGAATATAATAAAGTGAAGTGTTGAACGCCACATATTTCTTTCCAAAAGAGGAAATGAGAGACTTATTTTGGGACAAACAAAAAAGGAAAGTAGGACCAGTAAAATGGGACGGAGGGAGTATCACACTATACAATTATGAAGCATTCTATTTGTACACGTTGTTATACACTTGTCTGTGACAGGTCACTTTTTTGTCTGTGAATCGACGTGTTTTGTCTGTCACAGACAAAAAAATATCCACAGACAAGTTTTGTCTGAGAATCTCGTTCATAGACAAAAAATGACCTACACAGACAAGTGTATAAGAATGTGTATAAGAAAAGTGCACAAATAGATTTTTTGTACAATTATTGTATTCCACACATTAATGCCGTTTTGCCGCATTAATGACATCATTTCAAAACATAGAATATCATTAACATTTCCATCTAGACAACTTCTGATCGAAATTGTGACATTTTAAGATTATAAATCATGACATTTTCAGATCAAATTGTTGCACCGTGAAATAAAAAAGGAAAATTATCAAATAAGCCTCATAATATACGTAAAATAACAACAAGGCCTCATACTTAAAAACCCTAAATTGGGCACACCAACTTTCTGTTAAACAACATAAACACAAACTCATATCCACAACTGCGTGGGTTTTAATTCAAGGTTTTCCCCCAAAAAACATTACTCCCGAATTGAATTGCAAATTTTGACTTGCATAAGGTTGAAGGAATGACAATAAATGATGATTACTTTTTCACACTTTTACTATCTCTCTAAAAGTAGATGTCTTTAAGTTAATGGAAAAAACTAAAAGTAGGGTAAATTTGTAACTTTATTCTTATTTACATACCTAAAATAAAAACGAAAAATCATTTTGGGACAACCAAAATAGGAAATTTAGCAAATCAAATTGAGACGGAGGGAGTACTAAAATAAAACTTATTTACAAAAATATGATTAATAGTTACTACAATCTAGTGTCATGGTAACTTAAGTTTAAAACTTGAACATAAATTACTATGATTACCTTACTACTTTAGTCACTCGTCATATTTTTGTAAACTATCTTTATTTTAGTTATAAATACCTAATCATTTCTCAATTCAAAGCATGGGCGGATCTATGTAGGGTCTAGGGTGGACTCTAGCCCAGCCCAACCCAATTTTTTTGTTAGTATAGAAAGAGATTTAATTTTCAGCCCACCCAAAAATTAAAACTCAGCCCACCCCAAGTCTACAAGGAAGTGTTCTAAGAAGCTCTAAAAGCAAAAGGCTGCCCAAACTTTGTTTAAAGCCCATAGTCATGGGAACAAATGATCCCAAGAACAAATGATCCTGATGCGTAATAATAGAGCTTGGTGTGATTGCACCAAGAAGTGATTTATATATAGGACACAGGAGGGTGAACCATCCTTGCAGTCGGTGTGGGATAAATTGAGGAGCAAAACTTTACATACGGAGTATTAAACAATCGTATGTAGTTGGTGTTTGGAGTCAGCTGCAATTTATGCAATCCCATCTCACTCACTCACTCACACCATCAATGAAAGCACTTTATATTACAAGTTTACAATATTATTTTACAACATAAAATTTATGATTAATATTATATTATTATTATAATACTGTTATTATTATATGAATATTACTATTATTTGACCCAAGTCACCATGAGTAACTTTTATAAGCATTAAAATTTAAACATAATTATAATCATTAAAATAACTAAGTTACTCTTTATCAACTATCCTTATTTGGTCATATACTACTTCTATTATTATTATTATTATTATTATTATTATTAAAATTATTATTATTATTATTATTAATAAAATTATGCTTTTTCCATCACCCAGTTCATTATCTAGTTCTAACTTTTGCAACAAGCATGGTAAGAACTACTATTTGTGATTTTTAGAACTCTAGAAGTATACTTTTGTTATAAAGCGACTAACAAGCACAAAGGAGAAGCGGGAAGGACCCAACTCAGTAAAATGACGAAGCCACGATGTCACAAACACAGGCACCCAGCCGCGCCGCCACCTGCTTTCCTATCCCCTATGTCTGCGGTCGATCGTCGACGTCCCTCTAGAGTCCGACACTCCAGCCTGTAGCTCGTTGTGGCTCTGCCCCTCTAGTCTATTCGAGTCCGACTAGCTGCCTCTAGCCGAGTCTAGTTGTCCAGCCATCCACACATACTCTTATACTCTTTTAATCTATTATTTTGTGCATTAGTTTTATTTAATAGTTATGTAATTCCATTTGTTTATTAATTTAATTTATGCTCAAACTCGGCTTGAATAAAATAGATATATGAACTCTATTTTTTAGTGTTCAAATATATTTAAAAAATTGCAATGAAAATGTTTAAATTTTAAGATAAATAAAATTTATTCCTATAATTTACGAGTTATTGATAGACTCGAGTCCGGATCAAACCGAATACCACTATGCTCGAACTCAGCTTGAACAACTTTTCGAACTCAAAATCTAGCTCATGTTCGAGTTAAAAAAAACTTCTTAAGCTCAGATCACTAAATTAAATTCGAAATCACGCTCGAATTCGCGTAGTTCGAAAAAAACTCAATTCGATTACGGCCCTAAGCAGCCTAAGCTAAACTTTTTGTTTGCAATAACATTTTTTTTCCTACTAAGCCCACCCCACTCTTCATTCATGGATCCGCCCCTGATTCAAAGCAAGGATATGAAGAGGTAAGAATAGCTTGACATGAGAAGAATATGACTCGCTCAAAGAAAGAAAGTTTGTGGCAAGCAATCCAATCTCATCTTGGAAGAATCGTGCCTGTTCCAAGATGAAAGGTTGTGATTTGTGAAGGGCGTTAACTTTAATTCAAGAAAGCAAATCATCAAACGACGAATGTGAAGTAGACTCAAATTCACACTCCATCATCACTTTCCTCCAACTCCATCGGCTTCTCAAATCTCAAGGCTCTGAGCTCAAAGCCAAAGGTGAATGGCCATGCGGTTAATCGATTCTGCAGGATTGCGAGGTAGTGAGAGATGAGGAAATGGTGGGGTAGGAAAAAATAAAAAGTGGGGTTAATAATTATTTATTATTAGGAGAGAGTTAGAGCGAAAAAGAAATAGAGAGAGAAAATGGAAAGAAGGAAACACAGAAGAATATGACTCATTCTAATTGGTGAAAAAGAGGGTTGAATTGATTTAATATAAAAAAATAAAAAGAATTGAAAACATGTTCCTCATAGACATCCAACTAAGTTGTTAACCGAGAAACTGGAAGGTGACCTTCTAAAAACAGTTGATTTTGAGCATTTCTTATAACTTCATGGGAATCATGGGTTGATTGGGTGTTTTGAGGTACGGGGACTTAATCGTCGTTTTTGATACATTACACAGATTTATTTGATAGTTTTTCCAATAAAATATCATGACATTTTGATATCAAGATGTAAAAAATGAGAAGAAAATGTGGGAAATGAGATAACATGATTTTCAAGTAAAAATCATGGCATTGTTAATATTGTGCTTTCAGAAAAATAGTATTGCCACCTAGATAAAATTAATGTCTAAAACCAATGATATTTATGTATAAAAAGGAATATTACTCATGAAATTTTCAATTATAAAATAGTGACAAAAGAAGTAATCTAAAAATAAAGAAATAAAGAAATAATTGACGGAAAATAATAAAAAGGATAAAAACTTATCAAGAAAATGAAAAGGAGAATGATCATATGTGGGAGGAGAAGAATATAAATTGCCAACATGAAAACAAACAAAATCTTGAATTATGTGATGGGAAAAGCAAAACAATGTGAAGGCTAAGTGTACCTAATAAAAAAATTAGGTCATCTAAAGTATCCGACTCAAGGTTTGAATCGATGGAAGAGTTGTAGACTTTTGACTCATTATCCACATTAACTAGAGATTTTGAGTGATAACTACAAATGTAATATGAGCTCGTATTTTAGAAATATTAATCATACATGTACTCCTATTTAAGAATTTTTACAATGTATTACACTTTAGAAATTAGTTCAAATAAAACTAAAACTATGGCAAAAACCTAAAATAGGACTTGTTATGTTTTTATTCCAAAATAGGACCATATGAGTCCTATTGGAAACATACCTATTTTTGCATTCCATTCTTACCCTTCCATTAAATATGAATTAAAAATAGACAAAAGCCATAATTAAATGTTTAATTCATAATAAATTCGAAAACAATTCAAAAATTCGTAGAAATATAATTAAAAAATTTATAAAATTTTTATAAAATAAAAAATTCAAAACTTCTTTTTTAAAATAATTTTATTTTTAAAAAAATTAATAAAAAATAGTAAAACTCCGTAAAAAAATTTAAAAAAATATGGATGCCTTTCCCACCGCCTGTACTACCTCCCAGCACCACCACCTCCGGCCGATGAAAAAACGTCATTTTCCCAGAAAAATGCCATTTTTTTCTGAAAATGCCAAAAAAGTGGCATATTTCTCTTTTCGAATGCCAACATTTTCATTTTTTTCTGCCATAAATATGGCATTCGTAATGAACTTGGCATTTTTTCCCCGGCCTGGTGATTGGAGGTGGTGGTGCTGAGGCGGCAGAGGCGGCGGCGATTTTTTTTTTGAGTTTTTTTTTTAGTATTTTTTACGAATTTTTATTATTTTTTATTATTTTATTAGGAATTAAAACATTTTAATAGTTATAAGGGTATAATTGTCCAAGGTACACATAATTAGTCTTATGCAAACATAGTTTATTTTTTGGTCCTATTTGTGAAAAGTGAATGACTTTTAGTCCTATTTTGATAATTAACTCATTACACTTAGTTGGGGAATTATTATATACGGATTATATTTTTTGGTAAACCTCAAGCATATACCCTAATATTCCATTTTTAGTTTGTTGTGCTAATTAAAGTACATAAAATTCAATTTATTTATTAATGATTATACACAATATTTACATAAACATGCAATTAAATGCAGTACAATATAACTATCTGCATAAATCTAGTGGCATGTATGTAGTCACTTTTTATCTCTTTGAAGGGTTAATGATGAAGAGAAATTACATTTAAATGACACATGCATCTCTCTTACGTAGTTATCATAGAACTAAGGAATTTGGATCTTTTCCCTTTGACTAACGCTTCAGTGTCCGGAAAATGTCCGTCAGTGCACATAAGATCCTCCACAAGACCATCTCTTGTTATGTTGACAGGATAGCTCACCAAGTGGACTCCTCTCATATCCGTTACATCATCTGAACTATAAATTTTCCACATTTTCTCTCCAACGGAATAAACCTTCTTCACACATTCTAGACTCTCAGGCTCTAGGAACTCTTCCTCGGCTTTCCCGGTGTGTTCGTACCATAATGACATTCGGTATGCATGAATGTCACCGTGACAAATGCTTGGTTCTTCGCTTCTTGATTGATAACATCCTATTGCAATTTCTGTGTCACGTTCTCCATCCATAGATCTTTGATTTACGTTAGCCGAGCCTATCAACATATATTTATCGTCCACTGAAGAGAAATGAGATGCAATGAAGTATGTATTGTCAATCTTTATGAAGCAATGAAACACTTTGATTTATCAATCAAAGCTATAAATCATGAAAACTATAAATTTTAGGATCTCATTGAAAGAAACTACCATCTAAGACTGAGAAATCAATAATGTCAATTTTTTGTTTGTTTTCACCACCACTCCCATACTGAAACTCCCAATAATCAAAACAAATAAGTATGAATTAAATGACCGATATTCTATTATTTGAAAAGTATATCGGTAAACAAATTATTCAAGACTATTTGTATATAAGAAAAGACCAGATGTCCTGTTTGATAAATCCTTTATTTAGTTTACAGACCATTTTCTTACAAAACACTAAACTTTTGATTTCGCTCACAAAATTGGGTAAATATAAATAACCAAAGAAATAGCCAATGAAGTAGTTATTTTGGATTGAATTTGTCAAATAAGATAATTTCAGTTATTTTTATATAATTTTATTTTCTTTATAAAAATTAAATATAAAATTTTCACAAGTCATCAAATGTAATTGTTTCTCGCTTTCTACCATATTTTTTTGCAATTTCAGCCAATTTTAATGTTATCGAACGAGCTCGGAGTTTGTGGAAAATTAATGGTCAAACTCAATAAAGTTTGACTTGAAAATTAAAAGAGGTACTTTTATTTTGTGATAGACAAAGTAAAGTTTTTTATGTTAATTTTCAATAAATGTTTCTTCATGGATTATATATATATTTTAGGTTTAATAAAGAATCTATTAAGGATAATTTAAAAGTAAAGAAGATTTTAATTCACGGTTATCCAGTCATGGACTTAGAATGGGATCTCGTAATCTTTTACCTATCATGAGCTTAGAATGGACATAAACCATGAATCTTCTGTTTTTCTGAGCCTTCCAATAGTGAGATGAAGGGTAAGGAGAGCAGGGAGGCAGAAACTCTCCCTTGATCTCCTCTTCTCTATTAGCAAGGCAGAAGAAATTCAAGTAATCTCTAGGGTGAGTTTCGCTACAACCATATTTTCTTATGGCTTCTCCTATTATACCGTACATCATATTCATTGTTTCTCTACTCCAATGAAGTATATCCTGAACTGCGTCACTCTCAGGCGCTCCTTCTGGCCACATTGGTATTACAATGTACACTGCGAAACGCTCATTATCTTTTATTTTTCTAGCGATCTTTAACGCTATTTCAACGGGGATTAAGTTTTCGCAACCACTGTTCTTGTCTTGCTCCCAAACATGGCTTCCACCAATAAAGTACTGATTCTCAATGTATATAAATCTCTGAGCCTGTCTAATGGCTTCGACATACCCCTCATGGATGCTCCTCTCCACGGATGTGTTTCGGGGCAGAGTGTTGGTTGATAAATGATCGATGGATCTAAAGACTTGAACATTCCAATCCCGGCTTTCGGAGGAAATTGGGTCATCAGCTTGGGAATTTAGCTCTTCAATGGAGCTTATAGGGACAAGAAATGACGGATCACATTGTTTTGTCCATCTTTGCTCAAAATTTTCAAGAACGTCTAGGGCAGCTTTTCCTAAGACACAAGAATGAGTGTCATGCCACGGCTCTCTCGGGCCACCTTTGTGAAGGCTGGCTCCTGGGAGGCTAGTTTGGTAAAAGTCATAGCAATGGGATTGTGTATTGAGAGTGTGAAAGAGTGAATGCTCTTCTGTGTCATAACGGCCATCAAACAGATCAAAACCGCCAATAAAGGACATTATTTCTCTATTCCTCGAAAATGGTTTTATAGTATCCACAATTATTGTTTTTTGGTGATGGGTATAGAAGGAGGGTATCTCATGGTGAGATCTTGGAACCAATTTGCACACCACTTTTGTGTTCTTGAAATATGCTTGTGAATCCTCATCGTGTGTTCTCATTACCCCTTTGTTTTTAATGAATCGTAAGGATGTCTTATCATCCCATAACATAATCCTCACCGCCACACCCTCTGCTGCTTTGTGTTTCAACAATTCACCGAGAATTTTCCCTCTAGCATGTGGAATATCTGTCTCCGGATCACGAACCTGAAGAGTTTGTTTGTTTAAATGTAAGTGAAATGAATTACACAAGATCCACACACACAAGCAAAGGGAATTTTATTAGGGAGCTTAAGAGGGAATCACATAATTTATTAGATATATTCGAGGTAGTTTATGTACTACTCTAGTCAGACAGAGTTTAACTCACATTTTGATATGCAACGACTATATATTGGTGTTTTGTAGGGACCATAACAACTATGCTTATGTTAAGTCGTGTGTTGCAGTTATTAGAGTAATCATCAAATCATTTTTATTTATGATTTTTATTATTGCATGCGGTAGTGCCAGAAAAAATATTACTCAAGAACAAATGTGACAAGCAAGGTAAATATTTATGGTTACAGAATTTATACATCTACCCGTTATCAATCCTTTAATTTTACTCACTTACAAATTAGATCACATAACTAATAAATAATTCCACATTATGATCTTTTCACCAGTGTATACTATTTACGACAGAAGATTTCACAATGGTAGAGGCTTTGCATTTCCGATTTTTGCTAAAAAATATACATTCTTGTGGAAAAGTCTCTAAAATGGACAAAGTTATTTGTTAATTTGAAAATATGTAGACTTACGAGATTAGTAGTGCATACAAATAAAAATTATGGGAGTGATCATCCAATAATTAGTGGCTAATAAATACCTCAGTCCTTTTCAATTATAAGTCCTTGTTGCACACACTTTTAGGATACTTCATTGTAGTTATAAATTAACTAAACCATAGTTTGTGAAATAATTACGTTCTCAACTTTTCTGAGAATGATATCGTATCAATTCATTGCATGATACTCGTATAATTTTAATAATGCATGGCCACAAAAATTGAGTTCCTTAGTCCCCAACTGAATGAGAACAAGTTAATTTGTTGAATGAGAAAACATAAATATAATGAAACGGGTATCTAGTGGGAATAATACATGTTAGGAAATAATTACATTTCAATTAATAATAATTAACCATTAAAGATTCATCATGAGTTAACTCATCTACTTACCAGGACTAAATTAGGATTAAAAGACCAGCCTGCAATGTAAACCAAATGCTTTGAATCATCAATTGCTTTATAGACATCCTCCCACAACTTATTCGGCTTCCCGAAAGGCGGTTGAAACCCATTTGAATGGTGTGCATCCTGATACAATGTAATGTCACAATTTGATCTTTGTGGAAAAGTGACATTCTTCTTTAGTCCTGTGAATCCACTACTTGATGGCTCAAGTTCTGCAGGTTTAAACCACAACATGAGCGTCAACCTCAGCTTCTGGTTTGACTCCTCGGACTTCCCATTATCCATACGGAGTGGGAAGGTCCCTTCAATCAGAGACTCTCCATCCAAAAACAGATTTCCTTGGAAATGGATTTTTCCCAAGACAGTACACTTTGTTTTTAATGCAATTGTGAGTGTTGTGTTTGAGGGATGAGCACATAAGATGTTGATGGTTTGATTCCACACACGATCTCGTTCATATGTTGTTTTAGCCACATTCTTGTTTCCCAGATTGATTGTCACATATGTTGGTTTTCGCTTGAAAGGCATACACTGTTCATATATACAAAATTAATTTGTTAAATTCTCCATCTGTAGAAAAAATGTCTTTTTTTGTTAAATTTTGTTGCTTTTCTTTTACGTAATGTTTGTGTCTTTAGTTAATAAAACATTGTAGGATCTGGGTATAGTAGCGGGCTAGCAATATCGTTTTTACTCAATCATACGACATTTACCTTAAAGTAGTTCCATAAAATAAAATAAAAAACTACAATACTCCATTTTTATACATGTAGAAACAATGGACGAAACCACCGACTATAAAAATGTCAGCATTCGAACTATTTGTTTTGTCTGAACTAGTCTAGACTATTTAGATATGGTCTAGTCAGATATATTTATCTAGTCTAGCCTATTTAAATATGATGTGGTTTGATGTGTTTAAATCTGACATGTTTAAGTCTTCTGATCAAGTCTAGTCTAATATGGTACGTAGTATGATCTTGACATTGGAATCCATTGGAGTGAAAACGTCCTAAAAGCTATTCTAGACTTGTATGACATTGGAATCCGTTGGAGTGAAAACGTCCTGAAAGCTTCAATTGATCTTGACATTATATAAAGTAGATGAAGTGCTACAAAATGTACCTCTAACTTTCCGCCAATTAATGTAGCAAAATTAGAAATAAACAAACTTTATGTAGAGTGTTACGGTACCTTACAAATAAGTGAGGGTACCTTACGAATTTACCTTACAGGTAAGTATTTCATCATTTAATCATGTTTAAATTATTCAATTGCAATTTATGGTCGATCCACATAAACATCATATAGTTAATTAAAGGTGCACAAATATCGTCATTAATAAGGAAATGATCTATTTATTAAAGAATCAATATTGAAAGGTTTAGTTTATTAAGAAATCAAAATGAAAATGACTACATTGACAATTAACTCGTTTTAAGCAAAAAATTATTTTACTTGATAAGTAGCCGATACGGAAATAACTATTTAATCAAGAAAAAAAATGAAAATGATTGCTTCGAGTGATAGATTGTGTAAGTGTTAGTATCAATAAAATGATGATAGTATTTATTATTGAATGAATATGAAGATTATTAATTTATTATTATAACCCTAAATGAAAATAATGATTTTAATATTAATTCTTTATACTAACTGTATCATTGATAACGTTTATGGAGTGATTGTTATTAAGATATCAACATAGAAAATATTATTTTAATAAGATCGAAATCGAAATGGAAAGGGTAACCTTAATATGACACACAACGATGACTACCCTATTAATCACAACACAAGATAGGTTGGCATATTTTTTAAATCCCACAAGATTAATGTGTGTAATTTATATTTCACAATGGGTTGTCCCCAAATCATTATTTTCCTTCTACATTTTTTTTGAGGCTATGTTTCTCTTCTGTCTGTTTGACACTACCCTCTAATTTAATTTTCTCATTTTGTATTTGTTAAGTGACCACCTTTTGAAATAGATAGATGAATCCGTTTATGGTAATTTTTTAATTGAATATGATATTTCCATGTTTAAATATTCACCTAGTAAAGTAGGTGAATATGTATAGTATCTTGAACTTAACTTATGTGTAGCACAAATAGAATTTAGATATTAGGGAAGTAGATGATATAAAAAATTCTTCTTAAACTAAGTAAACTTCTAATTGGATGTCAAAAAAGTTTGCTAGAAAATAGACAAATTTCTAAAAAGAACTATATATAAAAGCTTCATCATTGGGATGAGACTACAACAAAGTTATTAAAAAATTGAGTGCTTTTGGGTAAAAAAAAAGTTACCTAGATGAGGAGAAAGAATTGATTTCAATACCGTGGACGGCTAGTAACCATCATGGAACATGAAAAAATAACAGTAAGAAATCTTATGTCAAATCTTTATATATATTTTTTTCATTTTTTAATTTTTCTTGCCTTATTGGGTAACAAAATCGTTATAGGCACCAAAAGTGAATTCGTGGAGAATATACTTGTGAGTTGTATTTATTTTTTGTGTTTTGTTGTGTTATTTATGTGTTTATGTTGTTGATTTATTTTGTGTAGGCATGATATGATGAATGTAAAGAACGAGGGGAAGGATGTTTATGTGGATGCTACAACTTAATTTTTTTATATCAATATTAAAATGAACTGTATTTTTAGAATGAGTTCATTTCCGAATGCTATTACAAGATCAGAGTTATTGGCAAGAGTGGTGTTCATCTTGTGGTTATAATAACCAAGGAGAAATGAATCAACTACAAAAATAAATGAGGGAGGTAATGAAAGGGCAAATGAGAGCAAAAGTTAAAAAAAATTTACTACCCATAAGTAATATTTTGTCATAGTAATAAAAAATTTACGGCTAGTCCTGAAACATTGTGAGTAGTTGAGTTTTTGACAAATCTTTGACTAGTATGAGTATTTTTGTATGGCAGGAAAACAATATACTTCCTTCGTCTCTTTTTAGTTGCAACAGTCAACATTTCACGTTTGTCAACGCACAACTTTGACCGTCGTTATATTTAATTCTGTATTAGTAAAAATAAAATAAAAATCAGATTATAAAACTTAATAATATAATGAGACGAATTTAACAATATTTTAAAAAAAAAACAATTCACATACTATATGATGGAGTATATGGCCCGGGAACCCCCGGCCCACAGACTCCTACTACTCCAATAAAGGTCCAACAGGCCCAAATCACAGCGCCAGGGTACCAAGCAGCCCACAATATGCACCAGGAGTGCCTTCGCCCCCCCTGGCCGAAGGCTCTAATTCTCACAGGAGGGCCAAGACAGGAAAACAAGGTTACTGGGAAAAACGGCGAAAATAAGTAGCCCTCGGCATCTAGAGCCCTCGGCACTAAGGAGGTCCCCGGTACTCAGAGCCCTCGGCTAGTCATCTACTACCGAGGGCGCCTTTTCCGACATAATATCCGCTCCACATGCGTATGGATCACCGTACCCTGTACAACGTCCCATCCAACAGCCGTATTAAATGCGGCCACATCCGGTTGCCAGCGCCAACCAGTTGAGGTGACCTCTCGACCAATGGACGCTTGACACGTGTCCCTGTCTGACATTTATTGCTACTATAAATAGCACCTCATTTCCTCGTTGTAAACCATGCTAAAAACGCGGAACACTTTCTAATACACTTTCTCTCTCTATACTCACTTGCTCTGACTTCTCTCTTGTTATTCCCCGTAATAACCCCTCGGATAAGCTACCCCCGGGTACACTATTCATCACTATACATTAATAAATAAAATGTAGTCAAAGTAAAAAACATGAATAGTGTATATATTCCAATGTTGCAATTAATGTGATACTAGTATATAATTCAAATAATCTGTTTCGAAGTATGAAAATTCAAAACAAGAACCCCAAACCTGTTAAATCAACGAATCACACAAATAAACTTTATATATGTAAGCACAAGGCCGTTTACCATAAAGGGAAAGGTCGGATTGATCATTGTGGCACGAAAGATGGAAACTTCAAGCGTTCCATGTAGAAATTTGTGTTTGCCCTCCATACTTTTGTTCTTAGCCTATCAAACTAAATGGCAAAATCAAGAGTTGAAGATTCTTGAAATGGCCCTGTAATGGAGGATATGCTGGCATTATATTCAGATATATGTAATCATCTTTAATGCATTTATGTCCATTCTAATCAAGGGCAAGTATGGAAACTTGTAGTTAAATTGAGAGGTTGGAGAATCTTGTGAACAATGGATGGTGAATCTTAGAGGCAATCTCTCAAGCTCATAGACTACATGTCTACTTTAAGTTAAAGTTTGTTTGTGATCATTATATTGTGGAAGGCATTACCCAATATGTGTCAACTCTGGGCTAGGATTCTTCTAAATTTTATTATAAAGTTCACTTCATGAATTCAACTTAATTACGTTTAATTCTTTTTAGGGAAAATTGAAAATAATAATCCCAACTATCGCTTATCCGCTAATAATAATCCCAACTATTGATTATTTTTGTATAATCTCAACTATATGGACCGTCCGCCAATAATGGTCCATGACCGCATATTACCTGCTCTAACAAGTGAATTTTTAATAGAAATTAAGCATAAAAATTAAAAATTTGGGATTATTTATAGGGATTATTTGTTATATCTCTTTAGAAACTATAGAAATTTATTTATAGTCGATCACGTCAGACCATTATTGACGGAAGGTCCCTAAAGTTGGAATTATTCTAAAATAATCGATAGTTGAGATTATTATGAGCGGACCGCCAATAGTTGGGATTATTACAATCAATTTTTCCTTTTTTAAAAAGAAATTAGGTTTGCATCGTAGAACCATTGAAAAATCTACAATAACGTAACGTAATTAACTAAATGAATAGCCAATGTTTAAAATTTTCAAAATAAGAGTCATTATTTGTTATTGGACAAAAACACCTTCACCGGAGTTGAAGCTTGACCATATACTGCATTAAAAATGATACAAATATTTAAAAACAATTAAATAAAATCATTCAACTACTTTTTTGTTAAATCGCCAATTTCCTTTTGGACACATTATTATTACAAGGTAATGGTACAACCTAATTAATTATGTACATTTTATATGTTACATTTAGTGTATGTACGTACATACCTACTAGTACTACTTTGTACAATGATTATCACTCCTACATATACGGAGGTAGTCTTCCCATCCTTAGAATCATACGGAAGTAGTTAGATCATATTTATCATTTGTAATCCAAGTGTATATAAATACACCAGCATGTATACGGATCATTGTGTGAAATACAAATCCCTTTATGGTATCAAGAGCCATTCTTTAAAACAGCCTCACTCAATTTTTTTCCTACCAGCTCCTTGTTCATCATGACAACCATCACTGCCACCACGCAAGTCGTTTCTCTCACGGCCACAACTCATTTTCCGATTAAGCTCACTTCGTCCAACTATCCAGTCTGGAAATGCCAAGTCCACTCCGCTCTTGTTGGCCTTGGTCTCGAAGCTTATGTTGATGGCACCATCATCACCCCCGACTTATTCCGTGATGCAAACAAAACCCAGCTTAATCCATGCTACACCATATGGTACTGTCAAGATAAAACAATTTTAAGTGCGCTTTTGGGCAGTTGCTCCGACACAATTCAACCGGTAATCTCCTCTGCTGCCACCGCTCGTCACGCGTGGGACAAATTAGCTCTCACATATGCCAGCACTTCACGAGGCCGTATCATCTCCCTCAAATCTGCCCTTGCTCGCACCACCAAGGGATCCCGATCTATTACAGATTATCTTGCTGAAATGTATGCCTTATCTGAGGCACTTGCCCTTGCTCAAAGTCCACTCCCTGAAGAGGATTTGGTCATTAATATTCTTAATGGTCTTGGAACTGAATACAGTGAGATTACATCAGCCATCCGGGTTCGACCCACTGCTCTTCCTCTTGCCGAGCTGCAAGATATTTTGCTGGAACATGAAGAACGTCTCCGTCAGGTTGTTGCCTCCACTGAATCTCTCGTTCCCACGGCTAACGTTACTCGGATGGTTGACCGCCATGCACATGTTGACCGTCGCCCCACTCAATATGGTGACCGTGGTGATCGTCGCAACTCATCTGCTCGACGAGGACATGGTAGCTATCATGGCTCCTCTCGGCCGGTCCAAAATCAGTTGACCTGTCACTTTTGCAATAATGTTGGACATGATGTAAGGGTTTGCCGTAAGCTACAGCGTTTCCTTCGAGAACATCAAGTACCTCATCCGGCTTCACCTACAGTTCATCATACTACAACGGCACCTTCCACTTCTACTCAGTCGTGGCTCTTTGATAGCGGGGCTTCTCACCATGTTACGTCGGATGCTTCTCTTTTGCCGTCCTACACTCACTATGGGGGTCCCGATGAGGTTCGCTTAGGCGATGGTAAGTCTCTACGCATCACTCACACTGGCTCCACTACCCTATCTACTAATACCCGCTCTCTATCCCTATCCAATGTTTTGTGCGTTCCCCGCCTAAATAAAAATCTTGTTTCCGTTGCTAAATTATGTCATACTAACAATGTTTCGGTTGAATTTTTTTCTAATCATTTTATTGTTAAGGACCGAATCACGGGGGCGCCGCTAATGCGAGGGGAGAACCACAATGATGTCTCCTATATCTTGCCAAGTTCCTCACCCCAAATAAATGTCACTCAAGTGTCTGATTTATCTCATTGGCATCATGTCTTCGGTCACCCATCATCTCGTGTGTTTGCTCAATTAGTTAGTCAAAATAAAAATTTATTTCCCTTCAGTACTACAAATAAAGTGCATTGTACTTCGTGTTTCGTTAATAAAAGTACAAAATTACCATTCTACCAAAATTCTATGACAGCGTCTCATCCCCTTGAATTAATTTATACTGATGTGTGGAGTACACCTGATCAACCCATTGATGGACACAAATATTATGTTATTTTTGTTGACTACTTTACCCGATATATATGGCTTTATCCTCTTAAACAGAAATCTGAGGTATCCATCATATTTCCTCAATTCCATCGTCTCACCGAAAAGTTTTTTAACTTCACCATAAAAGCCTTATACTCAGACAATGGTGGTGAATTTATTAAACTCAAATCTTATCTTAATACCCATGGCATAACTCATTTTACTACCCCGCCACATACCCCGGAACACAATGGTATTGCGGAACGACGTCATCGTCATATTGTTGACACCGGTCTTGCTTTACTACATTTTTACGGATTACCTATCTCCTACTAGCCGTATGCATTCCAAACCGCAGTTTATCTAATAAATCGCTTACCCACACCTACCCTACAAAATGATACCCCATACTTTCGACTTCACAAAAAATATCCTAATTATGTCAAACTCCAACCTTTTGGATGTTTATGCTACCCATGGTTACGACTGATGGAGTATATGGCCCGGGAACCCCCGGCCCACAGACTCCTACTACTCCAGCAAAGGCCCAACAGGCCCAAAAGGCCCCACAGGCCCAAATCACAGCGCCCAGAGTACCAAGAAGCCCGCACTACGCGCCAGGGGTGCCTTCGGCCCCCTGGCCGAAGGGTCTAAACTCTCACAGAACGGGTTTCTCAAGCAAACTAAGAAACTGGGAGAAAACGGCGAAAACAGTAGCCCTCGGTACTGTGAGCCCTCGGCACCAAGGTGCCCTCGGTTGGAGGAGCCTTCGGCTACTGCTCTATGGCCGAAGGCATCTCACTCGACAAGATATCCGCCTCACATGCGTACAGATCACCGTACCCTGCACAGACGTCCCATCCAACAGCCGCATTAAATGCGGCCACATGCGGCTGCCAGCGCCAACCAGTTGAGGTGACCCCTCGGCCAATGAGCGCTTGAAACGTGTCCCTGCCCGACATTTATTGCTACTATAAATAGCACCCCATTTCCCCATTTGTAACCACGCTGAAAACGGCATTCACACTGAATACACTCTCTCTCTGCTTTTACTTACTTGCTCTGACTTCTCTCTAAGTTATTCCCCGTAATAACCCTTCGGATATATACCCCCGGGTAGACTATCCATCATTTGGTGCTCTCGTTGAGAGGTCGAACAATCAAGTAAGAAACCCTCCCCCTCGACCAAACACAAAACACTAGCCCTCTATCAAAATGGTGAGGACAACACGTGCCAACTCAAAGAACGTAGAAGACAAGAACCTGGCCCTCGGCGACGTCAACGCCCCCGAAGCCTCTCACAGGGCTCCCGAGGGCGGTGTCATCGCTGGGCTGGAACAGGCGGCTGTCGACCTACGCCTTCAGATCCAACAAAATGCCCCCGATGCCCGCCTCGGCATCGAGGCCAAGAAGAAAAACCGGAGCGATGACCAAGTCAGCCCTCCGGTTCTCACCATCGACGTGCAATCGGCGCTCTCCGCCTTCATCCAAACGCTCACCCAGAACCCGGGTGCCTTCGGCACCCTGGCTCCAGCTCACCCTCAGGTTGGGGAAAACATCATACTTCCCCCTCTGCCACACCCCTTCGGAAATCCCACCCCTCGGGTGAGGAACGACGAGGGGGTGGTGGCCCAAGATACGTCCTCCCAGGAAGTTCAGTCCCGGGACCGCCATAATGACAACAGGGAAAGGCCCCGTAATTCCGCCCTCAACCGGCTCGGAGGAGGGCCAGACCGCCGAGGGGTCCAAGACCGCCTCGGGGGGAAAGCACTCCAAAGGCCCCAGGAAAGCGGGGGATCTGTTTCGAGGGCAGACGAGGAGCGTCCCCCTCGGGACAAAGGCAAGGCACCCCTTCATGCCGATGATGCTCGGCACCAAATCAACCAGGCCCACTCGGCCCGGGTTCGTTCGCAGGGGGCGGAGACCCTCCCGAAGGATCCCCGGGACGAGATTATTGCGGCCCTCCAACGCCGGCTTGACGAAATGGAGTCCAATAAAGCTCACGCCACCACCTCCACCCCTCATTCAGACCTGAAATACGAGGCCATGATGGCCAAAATGGAGGAATTACAGAAGAAGGTGGCCGAGGGCTCCGGGGAACCCGTCATCCAGCTCCGGACTCGGACGCCATTTACCCCAAGGGTATTGGCGGCCCGAATCCCGGAGAAATACCGAGGGCAACACATACAGCCATACAACGGGAAAACGGACCCCCAGGAACACTACAGCAAATACCAGAACAGCATGACGATGGTAGGGGCGTCAGACGAATATTTGTGTCGTTGGTTCCTCTCCACCTTAGAGGGGCCGACGTACGAATGGTTCAACAGGCTGCCCGAGGGCTGCATTGATTCGTGGCAAGAACTCGCCCAGCGATTCTTGACACAATTTGCCGGGAGGCGTCGCACAAGGAAGCACTTCTCCCACCTCCTAACAATACGCCAGAAGAAGGATGAGACCCTTCGGGATTTCCTAGAGCGCTGGAGGACGGAGGCCGACAAGGTCGACGGTGCTGATGACGGGACCCTCCTGGCCCTCCTACAAACCGTCCTCCGCACCAGCAACTTTTCAAGGAGCCTCATCATTGAACCCCCCCGCGACTACATAAGGGCTTTGCAGCGGGGGGACCGATATGCTGAGGCCGAGGAGGTGGAGAAGTATCACCACCATCCGGACCAGCAGCCCCCGAGGGCTGACAACAAGCATAACCGAGGGCCGGGGGCTCCTCCAAATCACCCCAAGACTTCGGGACCCTCTGATGACCGCCCTCGGCAAGGCCAAGCCAAGCCCGGGGGAGGTTATAAGAGCAACCCTAAGACTTGGGCACAGCCCATTCTCCTGGACCGCCCTCGGACACCATTGACGCACCCCGTCAGCATCATCCTCGATTTTGCCGAGGAGAGGGGCCTCGTTGAGCGCGACTCTCGCGCACCCCCGGAGGTATACGCTATCAACCCTCAGTTCCCCTACTGTCGCTTCCATCGGCACCAGGGGCACAGGACCGATGACTGCCATCAGTTAAAGACGACCATCGAGAGGTTAATACAAGCAGGGCACCTGTCCCAATTTGTTCAGAGCCCTCGGCAGGAGGGACCTTCTCATCAGGGGCCTCCCCGAGGGCACCACACGAAGGTAAATGCTTGGGTAAACCCGAATACCACCCCCCTCGGCAAGAAGAGGGAGATTGGAAACTTGGAAGAAGAGGAGGAGGAATACCCCCACTACCAGGAGAAAAAACGCCACATCCTCATGATCACCGGTGGCAATACAGGGGGGATTCCACCAGCCAGCGAAAGAAGTGGGCTCAATCGCTTTACGTGGGGGAAGTCACTCATATGCCCCCGGTAAAGCGACTGAGGGAGGAACCCATCACATTCACAAACGCAGATCTCCCTCCTACTTCTTCTCCTCACAGGGATGCCTTGGTGATTCGGACGGAGATAAATGACACCATTATTTACCGAACTTACATTGACACGGGCAGCTCCGTCAATGTAATGTACCTCAGCACCTTCAGAGAGCTGCATCTGGAGAGGGGGTCCCTTCGGCCCATTAAGACCCCTCTTGCTGGCTTCACCGGCGATACTATTGATTCCGAGGGGGTAATAACCCTCCCGGTGATCTTCGGCGACGGGCTCCATAGAGCCCAGCTCGAGGTGGAGTTCGTCGTCGTCAACATTGACTGCGCCCACAACATCATCCTCGTCCGGCCAGCCCTCGAGGACCTCGAAGCCATCATTTCCATGAGGCACCTCTGCCTCAAATTTCCCGCCGAGGGGGGCATTGGCTACTCCCGGGGGAACCAGAAAATTGCCCGCGCCTGCTATCTTCAGGTCACTAAGAAGGTAAGCAAGACTGAATTCCGTGTTGACACCATCACCGGAACCATCGACCAAGAGGAAAGAAGGCCGAGGGCTGAACCGGCCGAGGACGTAGAAGACTTTGAACTCGATCCGGCCCAGCCGGAGAGAGTCGTGAAGATTGGAGCCCAGCTCCCTGAAGATTTGAAGACCGGTATCACCGACGCCCTCCGCGCCTACTCCACTGTCTTTGCATGGGGGCCGGAGGACATGCCGGGAATCAGCCGAAGGGTCATCACCCACCGCCTCTCAGTGGACCCCTCGGCAAAAGCAGTACAACAACGAAGGAGACCCCTCTCCGCCGAGAGGAGGGAATTCGTGAAGAAGGAGGTCGCCATGCTCCTCTCAATTAAGCACATCAAGGAGGTGAAATACCCCTCATGGCTAGCAAATGTAGTCCTCGCACAGAAGCCCCCTACCTTCCGCATGTGCGTGGACTACATCGATCTCAACAAAGCGTGCCCTATGGATCCATTCCCTCTACCAAACATTGATCAACTGGTGGATGAGACCGCGGGGTGTGAGATCATGTCCTTCCTCGATGCCTTCCGAGGGTACCACCAAATTTTCATGCACGAGGAGGACGCCGAAAAAACTGCCTTCATGACTCCCGAGGGCATCTTCTGCTACCTAGTGATGGCCTTCGGCCTAAAGAACTCGGGGGCCACTTACACCCGGATGGTGGCCCGGGTCTTTCAAGCCGTCCTAGGGCGCACCATGGAGGCCTATGTTGACGACATGATCGTCAAGAGCAAACAATCTTCCAGCCATGCTGACGATCTCCGGGAGATCTTCGCCATCATGCAAAAATTCAACCTTCGGCTAAACCCGAAGAAGTGCACCTTCGGCGTCCAAGGGGGCAAATTCTTGGGCTACATGGTGAGCCGAAGGGGTATTGAGGCCAATCCCGAGAAGATCCAGGCCATCATCGACATGGAGCCCCCACGCAATGTGAAGGAAGTCCAACGGTTGACGGGCCGCCTGGCAGCCCTCAACCGCTTTCTGTCTAAATCGGCGGAGAAATCTCTACCCTTCTTCCAGATCATGAGGAAGACGGCTGGCTTTCTA